CGATGCAAAGATTTTAATCAACTCCATGTCCAAAATAAAAGCACTTATCAAGGGAAAATCTGCTAAGCTGTATGCCACAACTGGAGGACAAAGCATTTAAGGGGAGATGGTAAAACCTGGACTTCAGAATTAAAGACACAGAATGAGAGAAGATCACCAACAACCTCGCTGAACACGGGAAGGATGGAAATTAAAGAGGTAGAGAACTGAATTTAAATGGAGGACAGAGAAGTAAAATTCAGCATTCTGTAGTTATGCCTTATGGCAGTTTAATAAAACCTCACATACACTCATTGTCCTTTCACACCACAAAACTACAGAATCAAGTGGATCTGATCATTTTAGCCACAAGAAAAGAATGATATGACTCAAACTAGTGCTCTCTGTAAGCAGAGCACTCTCTAAGGAAGGGAGGAACAAACAGTTTTGCTACTTTCTAACACGTGGCAGAAAGGTGTGACAGGTTCTGACAAGCAGAACAGCACAGGGTACAGTGACATGAAAAAAAAGTCTATTAAATTATGACTTTCAGAATTTACAAATGTATGTTTCCAGACCAAAAGAAAAAAAAAAATCCTCTTAACTTCTAAATGTAGTTAATTTGTGAGGTTCAGTAGAGGTGGGAGGGAAACATCCAATGCCTTTGGCCTAGAGCTGTGCCTTAAAGAAAGGAGCAGCTCGGCTCTCATTCACTGCTGATTTCTCCAATTCATTGGCCGATTGTGCAATATTTATTTCAGCTCTCCCAGGGCAGGTGAACAGCTCTGTGAGCCACCAGCACCAGGCATCGTTCAAGTTCACTCAATCCCATCAACTGTCTTGGAGTCACATTAACCATCAAAGATATGCAGAATTCAGGCAGTTGGTTAACACAGGCAGATAATGCAACAGATAAAAATGGCTTTAGGCACTGCTGCTCTAGATCTAAAGCCAAGCTACAGAATATGCCAAAACTCTGCTTTAGAGATGCAAAATAGTGAGAATTGCTCATTGAAGAAATGCAAATGGTATATTCATGTTCTCTCACATGCCCAGGTATCCTACCTGTTGGAGACAGAGGATTGTAATTTCATAACAAATAGAAAGGTGTTCCTTGTGACACTGCTACTGATTCACCTCCTATTAAGCCAGAGAAAACAAAAGGAAATGATGTTCTTTATTTCTATTGCCCACATTCTCACTGAGGTAGGAGACAGTGAGGAAAAGTTCAGCTATTTTATAAGCTCTTTGATGTTACTCAGTGTCTTCAAGATCATTCCCAGATCCAAGGATTTTCCTTCAGGATGCCCAGAGCAGGGCCTGCTGGAAGCATCCAGCAACAAGACAACCAGGGAACAGACACAAGTGACATTCTCCTCTCTCCTTGAAACAAAAAGCTTTGGGAGTCCTCAGAGAGTAACACTCTGTTGAAATTAAATAACAGAATAAATGTGAGGCAGAGTGAAGGACTGCACAGTGTGTGTGGCTTGGGAAATAATTTCCTGAGCTACTCCAAACTTAGAAAGTTGTTCTATAAAATACTGCTACTTATACAAGCTTGCAGCTCCTCTAGAAGAACACAAGATAAGATATGAAGGCACGATTTTTTCAGAATTAAGGGAAATAGAATCTTGAATCTTCCTATTAATTAGCTGCCAACAAAGCATACATGTTTTGTGGTTGGTAAAAAAGCAACACCTGGCTTTTCCTGGATAAAAGAGATGCAGCTTCTAGGGATAAACAAAACCAGTAGGATGTTCCTGAGCTTTACAACTGCTAAAAGTAGGGATTTGCACTGAGCCTTATATTTCTTAAGCAGAACTTAAGAATTTGTAGTATAAATACACAGAGCCTCAAAACCTTGTGTCTTCTGAGAGTGTCTATTTATAGAATTCATGTCAGGGGGACTTAGAGATGATGTAAAACAGTCACCAGAGGACAAAGTGACAGCAGTCGTGCTTTAACAAAAAGCACAATGTATGAGTGATTTGTATCTTGTGATCCAAAATCCTCCACTCTGAACATTTCCAAGGACAGAACAGTTCTACCCTACAAACCTCATTTTTAAAAAGTGTTCCAGATAAGAGCAGCTTAAGAGAACAGAAATTAACTTTCTCTTTAAAGCACAATTAAGGAGCCTGTGATCCAGGATATGAGACACAGAGGCTGCTGCTGTTACCTCAGTTGTGCTCCAGTACCTGAACCTGGGGCAAGCTTCTCACCTTTCCAGAGATGGAGACACAGGTTTCTTTAAAGAATAACTTGTTAGGAAGATCCCAGGGGCATCTGATATCTTTGCTTCTGCTGTTTAGTAACCAGGCTTCAAGTCAGAGTAGGGCAATTTGCATTTAAGAGTAACACAAAGAGGAAGAACCTCAGGGATTAATTTGGAGATTTCTCTCGGTGGGCAAAGTTGGAGACTTTTCCTACCTGTAGATCTACAGTAACAAAAACAGCAGACTGAAACCTCCACTACCAGGGCTCACTGTGAACACTGGTCTTCAAATCTGACTCCCAGTAACAATCAGAAGGACTAGGATGAGGAATAAAATTTCTGAAAGTATATTAAGAATGCATAAAGTCAAAAATCCAGGTCAGGAGAAGTTGCAAAACAGTGGAAAGTGCAAGTCTGCAAATTAGAATTTCAGGAACAAACCAAAAAAGCTCACTGCTTCACAGGCATTTCTCAACCTTCTGCTTTTTGCTTTTTTTTTTTTTTTTTTTCTTGGCCCTCCACCTACTCTAGTTTATCAGACGATTGAGGCCAGGCCAGAACTCCAAACACAGAACAAAACTTCATTCAAACATCCCCAAACATCTTCCAAGGGTAGAAAATTGAATGGCATGATTGTTCTGAGGACAGCAGAGATCATCCTTTTAAGAACAGAAGTCCACTCTGACAGAGGGCAGTGGATTTGTGACCAGGTGAACTTTTCTCAAAGTTGTGTGAGAACTATTGAGGAGCTCTGGACCAAAGGGATCTATTTGCTCACCAGAAACAACTGGATGTGCTCCCCCTTCTCCTTCAGGCCTTTGAATTAGAGTTCTGTAAGATCCAACACTAACCCAGAATCTTACACCTCACACAGACACCTCACACAGGCACCTCACACAGGCACCTCACACAGGCACCTCACACATTTTCTATACCTGTAACATGGAAAATGTGCTGGCTCTGGTGCAAATAGAGTTAATTTTGCCCATGCCAGCCCTCCCAGTGCTGTGTGCTGGTCACACCCCAGGTCTGGGCCCTGCTCCCACAGCACCAAGGCTCTGTCCAACATCTCCAGCAGGCTGGGGGTGGGCAAGTCAGGACAGCTGATCCAAACTGACCAAAGGACTGCTCTTTGCTTTTAATAAATTACCTTAATCTTGACCCATGGGTTTTTTCCACCTTCTCTTTCTCCCACCACCCCATCCTTCTGAGGAGTGACAGAGCACAAGGTCAGGCCACAAGTACCAGACTGAAACAGGACCATAAATTCACATGAATTTAGAACATGGCAGTAACAGGTTTGTGTCATAAAGACCCTTCAGTCGACTCAGGTCCTCTTTATTACTTGTTTGCTTGTCATTTAATAGCTCATACTGAGGACTGTTGGGCATTAAAGTATAACAGAATATAAACAAAACAGTTGAAGTGCTATCTAAAAAGACTACAAACTGTTTAGTTGAATTTAGTCTAATTTAAAAAGTCTTCATTTACATCTTGGAAGCCATATAAGCATGAAATATAATACCTCTTAGCACTAATTTCCATAAAACAAGCATACTGGGTCAACTTGCCTTTCTGGTTTTTTGGCATCTGACTGCAGAATTACATTAACTGATTGATATCAGAACAAAACCAACTTTCGATTTATCATTTTATTGTGTTTGTAATGTGAGCTAGGTTAACTGCTACTCAGGTACTATTAAAGCTATAATTTAATAAATTCCACTGTAAGGATTATCAGATTTCAGAAGAGCCCTAATACAGGTGGTGTAAGAGCAGGTACCCATCCCACCACTAAGCAGCAGGTTGTTTGGCAGACATTCCTCACCTAAAAAAACTGCAATGAGCTCTACTTTGAAGCAAGCATGTTCTGGAGTTCCAAAAGTTCAAAGGTGTTTAGTTGACAGAGAGCAATAATCCCAAACCTGTGTGTTTTGTTCAGATACCTGCAGGAAACACCTTCATGACAGAGCAAGTCAACTGAGCTTTTTTTTTCCAGAAACCTCTCACACATTGAAATAAATATCACAAGAGAAAATGTCAGAGATGTCAGGAAACAATAAGGCTGATTTTGTTGAACATTGCTGACAGGAATACAAACCCAGTTTTCAAGTTTATAAAGGAATCTCTTTGTCAATCATATTGACAAATCAACTAACTGCCATAACAAGTTATTAATATTATATATATGATCTTTGGATAAGTAGAACATATGCACAAACTCTCTCTTAAGAACACTGACCCTAATCACAGAAAATCATATAGATCAGAGAAAAAACTATCTCACAGAATATTCCCGACAGTTTATTTCACAGGAATAAAGAATGGAATTCTAACAATGTTTCATTTTACAGGCAGACATGGAGAGAAACATCAGCTGAACTGTAGGCCAGTTCATCAATGGTAACAACCCAAACATTCCCTATGGTTTACAGTTTCTTAATTATTAAAAGCAGATAAACCATAGCTGTAGCCAATCCTTTGCAGCTTTTCACATGACTTAGGCTACATAAGAAAGGCATTCTCCTTTAGATTACAGACATTAGCCAAACCTATATACTTATTTGCAAAAGAGCATCACTGTTGTAATGAGATCTGGTTTTCTGAACAGAGAAAATAAAAGGAAGAAAAGAAGTTCAGTCAAAGCTCCCATTCAGTGCAAGGATGAAAAATAAAGGAAAAGAATACACTGGTTATTGCTTTGCCTCCCCCAGCCCCACTGTGAAATTTTCATATCCTTTTAAAGATGTATCCGGAACTCTGTCAAAGAAAAACCCAGAAATACACACAAGAAAAAAGTACTCACACTGTTTGGGTGTTGAATGGCAACTTGGTGCTGCAGCCTAACCCGCTGTGGCATCATCACATCATCCTGGAATAAATAGCACACTGTTACTGAACATAAAAAGGGTCACAGTACAGTACTGACACACAGTAGAATATGTTGCTAAATTAACATCATTTTACTGGCTTGCAGTCAGAAATGCAAATGGAACAGATATTAGGAGACTTCACACTTTTTGTGGGTAAAACTCAAAGCTGTTCGAGCTGGAAGTGATCAAACTCCTACGTGACAATGGTGCTGTGATCTCAACACACATCCACAGGCACCCCTACATTTAACATTTATTTCTCAAGAAATTCTCCAACTCTTTCACATCTACCAGAGCAGCACTGGCAGCGTGAGGACAAGGAACCACCCTCAGTTCAAGCCACAAGATCTGAGCCACAGCAATATGAGGAAATGTTCTCTGTCATCTGGCTGTACCTTGTTCCACAGAAAATTAAAAGCCTTTGGTCTCTAGATCTAAAAATATTTCATGGGCACAAAAGGTAGTACTTGTGAAATGAGAAAATTCTAAGGAAAAGGAAAACTAGGAATGCACACCCATAAAATGCATTAGCATTGACACTGGCTTTAAAACACACCACCTAGATTTAAATTTCATGTTAATACTTCTTCCACTTTTATTTACATACAAAAAGATTTTGTGAAAAGTCAGTAACTTTGCCATCATGCCTTGAACTGTTAGGAGAAATTCCCTAAAAAATTATATTATTTCCTGTTCAAAATAAAATACTTTCTAGACAGTGATTTCTCACTCTATAGGAACCATAGCACAATTTTTCTTCACTACATTTAGGCCCCTGAATAAATTTTTTTATTCTTTATTCTTTTCCATGTTGGTATTTCCCCCCTTTTAAAGAATCAGTCTGTTTTAGATGCTGGTTAAAGCTAACACATATGCCTATTTCTTCTCAGAGTATTTCCAAATAAACTTAATCAGGCAAACATAATTCAGAGGAGTCCTGAATTCCTGTTTTACAGACACTCTTTTAACAGTTTCTCACACTGAAATCATTCTGAGATCCCTATTAAAGCACAAACCCTCAGTATTGAATTTCCAACCACTTTCACATTAAAACTTCTCATCAAGTCAACAGCAACAAAAAATAGATTAGTGCTTAAATATCTACAGCTTGAAGAGTTGAATGACCTTGCTATAAAGGTGCCACTATGGTTTTATCAAAACAATGCATGATAAAAAAAGTTTCAGAAGTAGGTCCAACTATTTAATACAATTCAAGGTTAAAGATAAAACAAAATCATAATAAAAAAATTACTCTTATCACACGTAAGTCTGTAAAAGATGGGAGGACTATGTTGTCAACAGCATTTTTCTATATTTTGCATTTAGGATATGCTTAGTAATAAACATGACAGCTGTTCCTGATTTTCAAAGCCAACAGAGAAAAACAAAACCCTTCTGATTTCTCATGACTTCAAAACTACAACGATATTATTTACCACCTAATCCACTTTATCAATAGAGCACCAGAATTCCAGTATCAAGCAAGTGTTCCAATAAAACCTTTACCCCATTTCCCAGAAGAAGAACCATAGACCTGTTTCTTTATGCCAAATACAGAGTTGATTTTTGTAAATTAAAAACTGGATTTCATACAGGCAATAGGAGATATATATTTAACTGAAGTTTGTTCACTCCTATACAAGTTGCTAATGATCCTTAGATGTTTTCTTGTTAAAAAAAAAAAGGCAGGAATTTCAGTGCTCAGAACAATGCTTTACAAGATACAACATTTGCTCTTGTGCTAAAAGATCTCACTGTTCATGATCCCACACAACAGAGAGAACTCTTACATTCACAAAGATGAAAAATAATAGACTTGATTTCAAAAGGTTAAATCAGCATGGAAAGTATTCAAACCAAATTAAAACAACCCATGCACCAAAGAGGTCGATGTCATGTTTTCACAAGCACCCAACTGGCCAGGAATGGCCCCGTTCCCCTAAGAAAACACTGTGTGAGTTTGATGCTATTGGCAAAACTCACACAAAAATCTCCACATCTGGGGCTTAGGCTATCAGAGAGCATCAGTATTCTGTCAACTCCAGCTAAAGAGGGGGCACTAGAGCCACAAAAACTTCTAAATGCCTCTTTTTATTAATACAGCTTTGTTCTCTAATGCTGGAAAACTCTATGAACTCTTACACTGGATGACCTTTATTTCTTTTAATAATTCTGTCTCTTGTTTTTATTAGCAGCTTTACACACACACTGCACTGCTGTATTGTTCTGTGATACCTTCAGAGTTCATGAAAGGAGAAAGATGGGGAAAAACAAGAATATAATAGTTAATATAAAATCCCAAATACTATAATAAAGCAATTGAGTGATGAGGAAGAACAACACAAAATATAAAACACACCCCAGAGAGAAGTGAGATACAATCATCACTCAGCTGGCTTGGATTCAGGTTGGTACCAGAAAAGTAACTGCAAAAACCAAACTTGGACAGATTCCTCACGATGGAGGACTAGAAAGGTAACCATGGAGTGGAAAACAGAATGTATTTATAGAGAAATAATCTCAGGGAACTGGCTGGTAGTTAAAAACCAAAATAAATTATAATGAGTAAAATCAAAAAGACTGTAGCACAAATTAAGAACATGTTTAAAAAATTATGGAATTTTAGCAACTATAGCATTAAACAACTAAGGTGGTAAAATATTTTATCCAATTGTACATGATGAAATCACAAATTTTCTATCAAAGCTGTTGCACTTATGATATTGAATTCAGCAAATGTGTTGCCAGATTTCAGTTTCCACAGGCAGTGTTTGGTCATCTCTTTTTTCGTTTAAAACTGAGAACAAAATCTCAGTAATCAGGCAAACACTTTCCAAATTATTTTTTGCTCATTTCAGACAAAAAAAAAAAAGGGGTCTATACAAAAAAGGGAAGTATATTCAGTTTGTTTCTGTTTCCTAGGTGAGAGTAGGGAAGATAACAATAGTAGCAGTGACTTACATAGAAAAATAATTTTAACAAAACAGAAGTTTACAATGAAATCCAATTTTCTCTGTTCACATGGAAGTCTCTAATGGTTGTCCCCTAGCAGATATACAGCTGACAGGATGAATGAAATTTCCCCCATGGAAAGAATGGACAAAAGAAAAGAAATATAAAATAAATGCTAAAGAAATGCAGGCCTTCCCTAATCATATACTTGGAATACAAAAGTTGGCCTCTTCATCCAGGCTGTGTGGACCTCATTGGGCTCTACAGTGGTAACTTTATCATTTTCCCCTAAAAATTGGTGCTTCTGCACTTGAGAAAGTAAAACAAAAGATACAATTCAATGCATAATACACATCTACTTTTTGCAACCAAGGGCAAGTTCACAGAAAACAAAACACTAATTATAGCTCAGTATTGAGGTGATTTCTTAAGCTCACATTACAGACTCAGCATCTCATGCTTTTCCAAAGTCCTTCATATTTGGCTGCTCAAAATAAATAAAAGGGTTGAGAGCTGATACACTCCACTCCCACAACAACAGCACCTTCTTTTCATTACAGCTATTAAATGCAAAATACAACCAGCAGCAACAGCAGGAGGAATGTTTCACTCACTGAGCAACAATATGGCATCTCCAAAATCTTTCAATTCATCAAATGATCCATTCATTTATCCTGCACCTGCTCAGACTAGAGGGAAAATCTTTCTTTGCTATTGTTCAGTTCAACTCCTTGAACCAGGAAAGTGAAATGCCTGGGACCTCCAAAAACTGGCCTGTCAACAACTCTAGTGAAGCAAATACCCTGATCCCAGGCCACTCTCCAGGGGCTGGTTTTTGAACAGCCCCACACTATCAAACTCATTAGAACCAGGCACTCAAATGGCACCCACAAATCACCTGAGACTAATGATCTGTCAGTACTTGCAAGATCAGAAGAAAAAAAATGCTACTTTTCTGTTTCTACTGCCAAATTAAACTGAGAAAGAAGGGGACAACAAAGAAAACGCTTCAAATTTGAGAAGCTGACTGCATTGAGCACCTTGGTTTTTTCGAGCACATCAACAACCAGGTCCACATGGAAAGATCTGTGTGGTGTTCTTATGAGCCTGACAATCCTTCTACGGATTTTATTAATCCTTTTAATTAAGCATTGCTATTAGATTGTCAGGAAATTTTTGCTGTAAAGCAGCTCCCACCACAGTGCATTCATTCAATAAATGCATACATATGCCTTTCCACATTTTGTTTTTCTGTGGTCATTGGAGATCACTTTTGATTTTTTCTCATAGTTAGGTCACTGAAAAAAATGATGTGTTTGCAGTCAAGTGAAGCAGGTAACTCACAAGGTGTTCAGCAGCAAAGCCAGTACACTCAGACAAGAGTAAAAGCTTCACCAGCAATTCCAAATGCCCCCCTTAACCACTGAATAGATGAAGACACATGCAGGGAGAGGTTATGGCAACCCAATTCTGAAGATTTGCTTCTTCATTTAATATTTCATACCAGACAGAGGATTTAATCTAGCTTTAATACAAGCACACCCTCACAAAACAATGATGGGAATGATGCCTACAAGCACTTGTATTTTGACTTTTTGGGCCTCATTAGTGATTAGGAAACATGGACAACTCTTCTGGTAATGGAGTTCACCACTATATCCACACACCTGCTATTTGTGTAACAGCTTAGTTCAGTTTTTAAATCAGAGGGTAAGTTCCCAAGGAACAGCATGTTAAACAACAACAGAAAGAAAATACATGAACTCTGCTCACATCTTCATTTCCTAAGAAATGCAGACTAATTTGAAAGAAAGGAGAGATATTTCAGAAGCACATTAGTGCCTCTCATGTATAACAGCAACTAAGAGGAAATCCATGATTCCAAATCCAGCAAGTTACAGAGGCTGGAAAAACAAAACTGTTTATAACTGAATGTGCCTGACACATCTACCACCATGTCTGGCTAGAGAAGGTCCAACCACCTTTCTCCAAGGCCTTTAGCAATATCCCTTAATGAGGTGGGCTTGAACTTGAACCTCAAGGAACAAATGCAATCTGCAATTAAGTGATTAAGCACACAGCAATTAAGAATTACCATTCCCAACTTAAATCATACAAACAAATCTCCCAAACCAAAAGGCACAGGTCAGCAGCTGCCAATTTCATCACAGGAATGAAATCTGGTGTGACTCACCCTCATTTTTGGTGAATAAAACTTATCTGGGTCCCCGTGGCAATTTTACTATTAGCAAGCAGTGACACTGTGGCAATATGGTTGAAAGTCATAACTTTGAATTGCCTGGGAATCTCTGAAATCGTGATACATTGCCAACAGAGCTTTTCAAAAGATGAAAACAAGCACGTTAAGTTCTCAAGTGATTATGACTGAGTTTGAAACACTGCAGGTCAAAAAAGGACACATTTTTATGTTTCTTCTTTAACAGTCAGGAACTCTCCAACAACACACTGAATAAACCTGAAATAATTGGAAACTACACAGATCATTAGGATGAAATGAAAGCATGATCCTTTTTAAAGAAATACCGTTTCAGACAAGTAGAGGCGTGTTTATGTGCATGTCAATGAAAACAGCAGTTCAAAGCAGAATTTTGAGTGTAAGGGTTCTGCTGTGCTACAAGTGGGTAAATGCTTCTAACAAAGATGGCACCGCCCCAGAGAAGTGACAAACTACAGCTAGAGTACAATGAAAGTGGCAGATAAAGTCAGAAGTGCAGACAGTTTGAAGAAGAAAAGCTAACAGTGAAATATATTTGCAAAATTAGCTCTCATTTTCCCATACTATAAATGTTAAATATGAAAAAATTGTTAAATAGCTTCAATTTTTCTCCTTGTTTTCCCAGAGGGGAAAAAATGCCTCAGTAGCTTGGAGGTGAAATCTGTAACAACAGCCACAGTGAAAAAACTCCACAATAGCTATTAGTCAAACAGCTGCCACTTCACTAGAAAAGGCTGATCAAATTCTGACAGTTCTGAGATCTGTAACCTTTTTTTTCCACGTTTCTTCTCAGTTTGTTGTCCTCAGAAATCTGTGTTGAGAGACATAACACAAGCAGCTTGACTCCAGCTGGAATGGCAAGCAAAAACAGTTTTGCTGGAGGCAGAACTTCCAAAGATGCTCCCAAATATGCTCATCCACTCATTTCACTGCACAGAGAAAACAAAGGAATGCACAAAAAGCCTCGGATGTATTTCTCCACCTCATTGCAATGTGCACAAACTACAGCCCCAGCCCCGTTCCTCTCCACATCCACCTGCAGCAAACCTGAAATTGTGGCTGCACTTCTGAAGGTCAATTCCTTGGCATTACTGCAGCACATTCCAAAAAGCTGATATCAACATTCCTTCCTAGAGAGCTGGATACTGAATGAAGAAGGTAGGTGGTGTGTGGAAGCAGAGTTGTTAAACAGCTGGCAACATCTGTGTCCTAGCTATTATCACACAACATTTACTAACTACAGGCAAAACACTGAGCAATTTTTGGACTTGTAGCAGTTTCCACATCCATTTTATTTGCTCTGATCTGTTTTCAACAAAAAATGGTAGCCACAGGGAGAGACAGTAGAAAATACATTTATTAAGTAATGCCAGACATTTAATATTTCTTTTGTAGCAAGGTTAGGCTTCTGGTAGTCCAGAATGTCTCTGTTTTGAAGAAGCAATAGAAACACACAGAACAGAAAATCTTGGTAACTTCTCCTAAGCTTATAAAATCCTCAACTGACTTCGAGTAATTCTTGATAATATTAAACTTCTGCTAATGATAATATTGCAGAAATACAGTATCATTACCAGTTATATTCCTTAATAATTGTAATTTACTTCCCTGATGTTTTGTTTTCCTGTAATAGTCAGCCAACAGAAACAACACAGCAGCAGGAAGATTATAGTACATGGTAAATAACAAATGGAGAATTCTGAAAAATTACTATGAAAATATGAATTAACTTCATTTAGAGAATTTGATTTTCTAGCTTATTGCTAGTGATTTTCAAACAACTAGATCTGTCTGGATTGAAAAGAAAGACTAACCTATAATTTACTTCAGTACTTCATGCTATCCATATTTGAGACAGAGATATGAATCTCGATGCAACAAGAGTGGATTCATTTCTCATTTATGTACTCCTGGACTCAGGTAACTTCAGCCAGCTCAAGCACACACATTCCTCATCCTACAAACTCCCTATGCAATGTGGTATCTGTCCTCCAAGCCTGGAATACCCAAACTTTAGAAATCACATGTAAGTTCCCTTTTCTTCCCCCCATTTTATATATGTAAACAGCCTCACTGACTATTACAAAAATCACAAAATTTTAACATATGAACAAAAAACAATTTCTTCCATCTAGTTGATAACACACATGGAGTTTGCTAACTGAAGGATTTCCCTAATTCAAACCTGAAATGGCTGTAGAGTTCACATACCTGCTCTCACAACACTTTCTAACAAGCACAGACAATCATAATATTGAGTTGAATTGTATCTGAAAACCGACTCTGTCAGCAGCCAGTTCATCCTGTACTACTCTAACCCATAGCTCAGTTGCAATTCAGAGGAAAAAAAAAAAAATCAATCTTCAGGTGAAATTACAGGAGATCAGTGAGCCTTGAAGGTCCTGCTCTTCTTGCCTGCTCCCAGCACACGGCCCCACTCCTCTGCTCAGCTGGGCACCTTTGTGAAACCATTCCTGCATATTCAGCTGCACGAAGTGAGATTCTTATCTGGGGGTTAGTGAGCTGAATGGCTTCACACAAGATATCCAACAAAGAACAGGAACAAAAAAATTCAAGTTGGAAGGTGAGACCTCTCCTATTTTACATCAGAAAGCCAGTAGATTAGCTCTTAGTTTCTCATCAATACCATTTTCTGAAGAATGTGGGAAAGAAAAATCCTCAAAACACCTAAATACCACCAACCTTGCCCAGCCCTGTTCACAACAGCTTGTGAAATCTGATATAATCAAAGAATGATGTAAGGCTTTCTACAGGTTGGAATATAACTTTACAGCCATAAATAGTAACCAGCACATTTAACAACCAAACACCTTGAAGCAGCTTGTCTTTCAGCAAATCAACAACTCCATTAAAAAGGAAAGGATTGTATTGACAAAACCAAATTAGACAAAAAGCATTAACTTACTGAATCCAGAAAGCAAAGATAGGTTCCTGAGCTCTGAATTACTGCTTGATTTTTAGCAAATCCAACTGTTGAGAAAGCAAAGATAAAAATATAGAGGAGATTTTACTGTTGCATCTTTTAAAATCTTAATGAAGTGAGGAACAAATGCAAAAAAAAGACAAAAATCAGTATCACATAAAGTACCAAATTTTTCCGAATTTAAAGCAAGGTAATTAGAGAATACTTAAATAGGATGCCCATGTCAGTCACCTTCTCTGAGTGAGTACCAGAATTCTACAATCAAGTAGAATAAGACTGCTTTTGCCAGCCCTCTCCAAGGCATAATGTGTAATGTGTTTCTTGAAGAGGACAGGTTTTATATCCAGAACCTCAGCTTGTAGAGTCACACAATGCCTTGGGCTGGAAGGGACCTTCAAAGGTGATCCAGGCCAACCCCTTGCAAAGAGCAGATGCTGAAAACCCTTGGCTGTACATACACTCACCTTTTCAGTCCAAAAAAATACCAGCAAATCATAAAAAAGGCAGAGAAGGACCAGAAACTGCTGCTCTTCGTATCAGAGTTCTCAGAAAGACTCAAAAATTCTGTTCCTTGATGCTTGTTAAGTATAAGGTTTGCAAACACAAAAACTTCATGTGCCATTGATGTAAAGGCACGTGTAATGCAGAGGGGAGGCAGAGCAGGCTTATTTATTAGACACACAGAGCACAAAGGTGCCTTATTTATATATTATATTTATATAACATGTTGTACCATCAGTGGAGACCAGTCTGAAATGTCACTTCACACAAATGCCAACATTGGCACCTAGGGTCTCTTAGCTTCTGACCTCCTGACACTTAGTGAATCCTTTTACCAACCCATTCATTTCAGGAAGCTGAACCAAAGAAGAAGATTTTTTTGTCAGCTTAATTTCTGAAGCAGATGACTGTTCTGGAGGAACAAACAAATGGCAGAACCAGAAAAATAGGAAGGAGCAGGAATTCACAGTTGAAGGTAAGGATGGGACTGCAGCAACCACTGAAATACACCCAAGGGGGGAATGGGTACCTGGGATCATTTCTGCAGGTGGACAGGGTGTACCTAAGAACATTCTCATCTCTGAGTTCTTGCCCTGGGCAGCATTCTGAGAAAAGCCTACACTACATCCAGTGTTAGTCTGAAAAATGCTGTATGGATTCCACTTGGTCATATATGTAACACTCAAGCTTTGTTTGGAGCATTTATGGAACCAAATCAGGGAATCCAGCAAGGTCACCCTGACCTGCAAAATAAACATTGTGAAGACATGCAATGCTGTAGGGCTTTTACTCTTTAGGAGAAAAACTGGAAATGTAAAGCCAAAAAATCTCAGCATGAAGTGGATCAGATTAATTTTAAAAATTATTACCCATAAAGTTTCTGATTTTGCATTTGAAAAAACAGAGTTCTGTAATTCTCTTATCTTTTTATGTGTTTCAAGTTTAAGTTTGCTCAGGAAACAGATTTAACTGGGCTCAAAGGTTCCCTTAGTTGTGATGCACGTGCTCCTTGGCTATTTTGCTGAGCTGTCCAAGTACAGAAAAAGACTTATGACTGCATTTCTTACTGCCTCCAAGGAACATGATGTCAACTACCACCAGAACACGACTAATAAAGGCCCTTCCTTATAACTGTGTTATTTTTTCTCATGTACTTTAATCCTCACCTTAACTTCTCTTCATTGTGGGTTTTTTGGGTTTATTATTTTACAGGATGTTTACATACTACCTTTTACAGACCTATGAATATCTAATTTCATCTATACAGTAACTCTCAGTGTCCTGGCAGCAGGAGCTGCCACAGCAGCAGAGCTGGGTCCTGGCACGAGCAGTTTTAGTGGGAAATAACTGATGCAAGTCAGCAGGTCTGGACATGCCACAGCAGCAAACCCCCAGTTCTGTGGAGGTTCCTAGGAAAGCAAGAGATAAAAGAACAGCACAAAAACGAGGATAGAATTAAATTTACCCAATATCAAACACATCAGTGCTATCAGAAGCCATAGCAGCTGTAAAGCAGCCTGGACTTACATTTCAGTGCTGTCATTAACATACCCAAATATTTCAACTACCTTCAGTGGATAATAATGAATTACAAGGAATCAAAAAATGTAAGAAGAGAGTGAAGGAGTCTTCAAGGCAACTACAAGATGGCAATTATATTACTACATGAACTTTCTGAAGTATTTCAAAACTCATTTTCAAATAAACCACTTTAAATAAAATCACTAAATATCTAGTATTTATTATCAGAAAAAAATTAGAAAATATTTCTTGCTATGTTTAAGACAGAAATATCCTGATGTTTTTCATATACCAGATATCTTTCAAAGAAGAGAGAAGAACATACACATATTTTTCAAATTATTAAGAAGATAAATATAACTCCCCATAGAAGAAACTAGGTATTAAAAATTCTTTCACCACAACAAATTCTGTGTTTGGCACGAGTAAAAAAAATTCTTTAATATTACTCTACTGAACAAAATGAAATGTTTGTGCCAGGTCTGTGAGTTTTGTAAGGCTTGCTTACTTGGTGAAAAGAGCCTGTAACCATGGTTACAGCCGTAAAAACTTAAGCCTCAGTGAGATATTAACATTCCTCACTCTTGGAAAGAAAAAGGTTTCCTTTTTTTTAGGCAAGTGACCCTTTCTTTTTGCCTAGGTTCTCCCCCTTTCTTTCACATGTTGGAAAAGAATCAGAAATAAATCCTAATCTTGTGTAAATAGTTGAAGATGGGAAGCCTGACTCGTACATTGTTTCTGTACCAAAGCATCTTCTTTTAAAGGCAAGGCTCCTTCTACTTGTACCTAGTCCTTAACAAAATGAAAGTAAATCACCAAAAGCAAACAAATACTATGGATTTCAAGTAACCTGCTTCTAAAATGTAACCACCATGAAGTTAAGATGTCCTTGTTTTAATGGTGACCTGAGAGTATCTTCCACATGGAGAAGCCTGGGTTTGTTTTATAGCAGCACCATGAATGTCACACTATTATTTAAATAGTGCACAGCTGTCCCTCCCACCCCCAATTTATTAAAGATCTGTTCAGTCTCCAGCTACCCCAACACTGACAAATGCATGCTAAACCAAAAAATAATCTGACATATCCCTAATGGCACAATGGAATTCACAACTGGAACTCAGTTTGAGGTTCAGTTTCCTGAAGTGCAAAGGTGAACAGACATCAGAAGTCTAAAAAAAACCCCAAAAAACAACAATGCAAAAACATTCTGCTTGTGTGTTCTGGCAAACTAAAATCTAGTTTATACACAATTGATACAACACTCTAGTAGGAACAAGACTTTAGACATAGCAAATGTTTATAAAAATGGAAAATATGTTACACAACACGATGGTATTAGCAAAAACATTACTAACTATCTTAAGTATCAGAATTAACAACCTCTGGGATTATTCTCTGCCTTAAGAAATTGTAACCTACTTAGCTTCTTGATCCTCAACTACTAGAAGAAGTCAGTTTTGAAAGGAGACTGATCACCCAATAGTGGAGAGGTGAGAAAAGAAGACAAAGTCACAGGATTATGAGTAATTCTTGACATTGCTCAACTCCAGCTGTATCGGTTGCCCAAAAGAGAAAAATTCCCTCTAAAAATTTTGTCTGCCTTTCATCATTACCAGCCCAATAGTTCTAATATTATGAGCTGCACTGTCAAAACAACACCAGTTCATGCTAGAGGTATTAAAATATCAAAAATATTTATAGTAAGGGTTATGCTGTGTTACTTCAGTATTGCTACGTCTGACAACTATGTAAAAACAGATATAAAGCCTACAGCCAGGAGAAATGACAGTAAATAAAGCCAGGGGGCCTCTACCAGGTTGCAGATAAATTCAGTGCACAAACTCCCAATTTATTTGCATGTCTCAACAGGGGATGAAAATCAAACTTTCTGAAACAGACCTGGGCTTTTGCATAAGAAGATCATTTTGAGGAGATTTTAATAAGGCTGAGTTTCTTTCCACTTCAAACAGGATGTGTAGTGAAAGGGCAGAAACTGTCCACATTTTGTGTTACAGTGTTTCCAAAGTGTGACTTTTAAGAGATAACTTCAAAGACACAAACTTGGAAGCAACGTTTTAACAATTCCTACCTGTCTACTCATTAAAACAGAGTCCAGAATGACAGAAACATTGGTTACACAGCTCCAGTATAAAATGTGAGCACACTGTTCTTCCTTGGTCCTGCTGCTCCTCCTCAGAACACAGATGTCATCTTCCAACTTTACTGTCACTCAACAACAGCTTCTCCAAAAACCAACTGACTTTTATTTCTATTTTACACTTTAGGAAGATTTTGTGCTAGAGCCCCCTAAACATAAACCAACTAAAAGATGCAAAGGAAAATCTGTTTAGAGAGATTTGTCTGTAATCTTCTGCAGTGCTATAATTCATAGGAGCATGCAAATGAATAGGGGATCACATCATACACCTGTCTGACTGCTCACTAAACATTGCTTTAGCCCTTGGAGTGAATACTTGGGACTTTAGTGACAGTTTTTAGCTCACATCAAAACTTTTGAAAGCTCTGTTTTGATTTGATCATTGAAGCAATATCAAAAAGGTATTTATTTTCTATTCCAGTGAATATTTTACTGGACTGAAAGATATGCATTTACTTTAAAAATCTTTATGTAAGATTTTTTTTTTTTTCTTAAAACTCATCTCCTGAAGAGAAATCAGATATCAGAAAGCCAGGGTAAAATTTTAAGCATTAACAACATTGTGTATACTACAATTAAACAAAATTCTTTCGCTTTTGCAGAGTAGAGCATGCAATTGCTAAGCCAAGTTCTTCTTTCCTTGAACATATAAACAAATTCTACAGAACCCAAAGCAACAGGGCCAAATTCAAACTGGAATGAGCTTTCAAACAGAGCTCTAGAAAATAATGTGGAGTTTTTTTCCATTGCAGTGCAAATGACTACAAAAACACTTTCCAAACCAAAAATCAGAAGGTGCCTGCAATAAGAACCAAACTCTCACAAAAAGCACTATTAAGCTACATACCACCTCGAGGCTGAGAGGAATCATTGGTCCCAATGACTACTGAAACACCAACTTCTTCCAACTTGATCTTCCATTTTTCAATTATTTCAGCTGAACCATCCTAAAAAAAATAATGACTTAGATGTAGCTATTTTAATTTGTATGGTGAAGCAAATCAAAAATTCTTGTTACAGACAATATTTACTTGGACAGCATTTTAAAGGTTTGAAACGCACCTTACTGGCATCATTAAAAATTGACAGCTCCATGGTTCCTTTAAAATCTTGTTCCCAAACTGACTTTAGGCATTCATCTAACCAGCATTCACTGTTGTGAACAGGCAGAATGATAGACTACAAAAAACCAAAGATCCACATGCATGTCAGGAAGCGTATTTTTGTTTACTTGCAGCATATTTATTAAAAAGGAGAAGTAGCAGATCCTTCTGAAACTAACTTTCACCAAAAAATGCATCTTAAAAATACAAAAGTAGGCGAAAAACTTTTCTTTTCATTGCACATATATGATTTGCTTTCTTCTCTATCAAGCTTCTTTTTAAATTAAGTTCCATGGGATGGTTTTTGGTAGAAGTCCAAGGAAACAAGAGACCACTGAAGCAAACCCATAAATGAAACATCTGTAACGCCACCCTAACGTGTTTTTAGTTTTTCTGCATTTCTTAAGACACTCCTCACTTTTGTCTTCCATTAATACATCTTACTCATCAATTTCTCTTCAAGTCTAATTGGAGATGCTCACATATGCAGCAAATTTTTAAAAATTATTCCACCTACAACTGCTCTAAAGCACATTGGAAGTTGATCTGTGATGCAGTTCCACACTCTGCCATTCCAGCTGCAGCTTTCCTCCTACAGCCCCTTGCTTCAGAGGTGCACACACAGCAGGAAAACATACCTGAAAGATTTTAAAAGTGGTTAGAAAGCAGAGAGGAGGGCTTTATCTGTTCAGCTACCACTGTTCTAATTGCCCTAAAAAGCCAACAATTCCCAAAACTCCTTCAGTGTCTCAGAACAAAACACATTTCCTTCACTTCATGCAAAGGCCTGAGAGATCAGCCCAGTGATACACTGGCTGTGTTTGCAAAGGGAGAGCCCAAGTCTGTTAAAATTACTTATAGATAGGGAACCTGTTAAAATTACTTATACATGGGGAACTTAAGGGCCTAAGAAACTCATAAAAAGTCTCATGGGACATTTCAAGAAGTCCCTAGAAACACAACTAAACTCCTCATTATGTGGGGTAACCACAGACACATGGTTGGAAGAAAGAGAGGATTTGTTCCTATTGTGAGCAGGAGAGAATCCTAAGAAAAAACACAAGGATACTGAAATGGAATTATTCATGACTGAGTGCCATGTGAACACAAGTACATCGTGCAAATACACACACAGGTGCACATATCAGATTTTTGGACACTGAAGGATCTACACACAGGTAGAACCCAGTCCTGTGTAGGGTACAATGCTTAACAACATTCCACAGCCAAATAAAATAGTGAACATCTAAAATGAATGAACTTCCTCATTTTTGGCAGGATGATGGAAGAGTTCTTAAAAGAAGTAGGACAAAAGCTCTCTAAAATTTTAAGCAAAGTAGGCCTTTGGCTTGTTGTTTTAGAGAGAGAAATAAAATAGAAAGAAACAAACAAAAAAGTGAAACTGATTACCCAATAATTACAACATACAGACGAAAAAGATTATTCCAGAACTGTCTCAGATTAGTACTTTGAGACTAAAAAAAAAGCAAGAATCTGAGATTCCGAAGTACTATATTCAATTTACTCAAGATTTAAATATTCTTTATGTGGACATGGCAATTAAACCAACCAATCTAATATTTCATTCAGTAAAAAAGGGTCCCACAATTCTTCCAATGACAATATAAACTTGTGCAGTTTTGCACATTCAGAAAAATCAGTTATTTTTCAATTTGTTTTCTGATTCACTTAGTAAAAATTTGACTAAGCCATTACCAACTAGCTTGCCATTGGTTTGAAAACTGGAACTTCTTTGCTTTTTTTTCCGTGGTGTATTCCTGTTTTAAGTCAGGGCAGCGGTGCAGATAGCAAGATGATGTTTGACCTCCCTGTTTAGTTTGAACTGAAAGCAGAAAAAAGTACTTTCAGCACAGCACATATAAAACAACCCATAAATACCTGATGGTACTGAGGTGCTCTGAACTGAACTGCTCATAACGATTAACGTGCTCCTAACACATTACTGTGAGCAAATTCTACTTCCATAGAACCACAACCACCACACACAACTGGACACCTGCCAAACTAAGGCCCAGAGCTGAACTGCTGATGATAATTCTGTGTAAAACCCGAAAAATTAACAAATCCACACAAATAACTGTAGTCAGCAATAGGATTAACACCTCAGAGTATTGCTGATGTTGTATACTAGAGTTTTCTCAGGTTCCACCATTCTTGTTCAGCCTCACTGGTTTTCTGTATTTACTTTTAGTTTGAGGATAAATCAAAAATCTAGACTTTCATTTCTCCCTCGTTCATTACTAGATTTGCACCCTGGCTTAAGAGTTGCAATTGGGCAGTCATAAATTGGCTTTTAATGTCATGTGGCTGTATCAGGATAATACAATCTCCTTGGACCATTTAAAGAGGGAAAAACCATGAACCAGGCCACTACTCCACTTACAGGTGCAGTCTCATAGCAAAAATGCCAGCTGGTAGTAACCTCCAGAGACTGTGTCTGCTTCTTCTGTCCCAAAACAAGATCAGCTCCAGCTCTGCCATCGCTGACAAACCCTTTCTCCAGGGTCAAACACCAACTTTGCTAAGGCACTCACTTAAAGCAGGCATAAGGAGACTTAGAATGGTTTTCCCAGTGTCCTTTTGCTACAGTCTATGCTAAGTCCTACTTCCCAAGCCCAGCACAGATGATTATTCTGGTTCTCCTTGCAGCAGCCCTTCCCATGTTTGAAGACTGCTACCAAACCAGTGAACTACAGAGAGCATAAAGCTCTCTCAAAGTAATTTTGAGTACGAAGGACATAAATTGTAAATAATTAATGTGCTTTTGGCATTACAAATCACGTGAGTGACAATGTGAGCGATGTGAGTCAGAATTACCATTTCATTAGCAGAGGCTGATTTACAGCAGCATCCAACAGAGAGGAGTTCCGTGGCCTATGAGCCAAATATGACTCTTAAAACAGAGCTATGAATCAAACCTGGATCTGAGCATTGTGACAGTGCCTGGTTTCCCCTGAACTCCACACATTCTAGACAAGGATTATATATTCCTGTATTTTTATATCTCTATTTATATAGCTATATCGGCACAGATAGAGATGTATATTTAACTTTATCTGTGTGTTTCACTTTTACATAAGTGTGCATATATAAAAAATTGTATATATGTACACACACTATATATATATATATATACACAGTATACAGATATGTATGTATAGGTATGGGAAGCAGCAAAAGCAGGAAGTGTTGTAGGAAGATTTTACGGCTTTCATTGCCAGCCCCGTGTACCCGAGCGCGCCGAGGCTGCCGTGCCGGCCCCGAGCCCTCCGGGAGAGCTCCGGGAGAGCCCCCGGGCCAGCCCCGAGCCCTCCGGGAGAGCTCCGGGAGAGCCCCCCGGGCCAGCCCCGGCCCCGGCCCAGTGCCGTGTCCGCAGCGGGCACACCCGGCCCGGGGCAGCCCGGCCCGGCCCCGCCTGTCACGTACCACCTGCACGGGGCCCTCGGGGCTCCCGCCGGCTCTCCCCGGCTCCGCCATCGCCGCCGCCCCTCAGGGAGGAGCGGGAGGAACAACCACAGAGACGGAGGCAGGAGCGGCCGGAAGAGGCTCTGCTGGAGGCGGCCGCAGAGCTCCGGCTCCGGCTCCGGCTCCGGCTCCGGCTCCGGCTCTGGCTCTGGCTCTGGCTACGGCCGCAGCCCCGGCCCCGGCTCCGGGCCGTGGGGAGAGCCCCAGCCCCGGCCTCTGCCCCGGCTGTAGAGACACTCGTACGGAAAATCATGCTATGAAAAAAAACAGTGTCCACAAAGGAGACAGGGGAGTCCTGCAACTTTATCGAATAAAGGGAGAGAGGCCACCGGGGCACACTCTGGCAGGGTTTTCTGTGTCGAGGTGTTGGAGGACGCAGGTTCCTTTTATCCCAAACTCCCGGCCGCATGTTCTCTTCCATTGCCAGTGCTGAGGCACTCGGAAGGTACAGCCTTCCCCAATCGCCTGCCACATATTCCACTCCTTAAACTTGTCATTTTCCCCCAAAGTTCGGAAGTTCAGGCTTGTGCCGACCCATTTGTCTGTTTCAGGACTCACGCTGCCTGGGCTCTGTAGCGAACCTGCTGCTTGAAGAAGTTAATAGAGACATTAAGACCTATTTCAAAGACGTAAACACCCAATACCTTCACTCATCGAATTTTTTGTTAAGATACTAGCACACATCTTCCCTCTCACACTGATTCCTCAATAGATGCTGCCTGCTTTCCCTCACTTGTTCTCTAAGCTCAATCCTGTAAATTTTCAGCAATATTACAATGCTTTTTCAAAGTTATTTCCCACACGGAGGTATGGCAGCAGGTAGTAGCCTGCTTGAACTGAAATTTGCGCAAACGAAAACAATTGTTTTGTCTTGGAGTTGTTCATTGTACATATTCCTGCAGAATGATAATGGTAATGCCAGTGTTCTCTAATCTCTCCAGTCTGGGCTTTTCTTGGTCTGAACTACTGTGTTTAGTGCTTTTTTAATACAAAAGTTTCTAATAACCTTTGAAAAGGGAAAATTGCTGTGGTAATGATGCCATTATCATAGAATCATGGAATATTAAAGTATTGGAATGGACGTTATAGCTCATCCCATTCCACACCCTTCTAAAATACTGTTTCCTTCATACAGAAAAAGATCTGGGGGATAGGGACACCTTCCACTGTCCCAGGCTGCTCCAAGCCCTGTCCAGCCTGGCCTTGGGCAATGCCAGGGATCCGGGACAGCCACAGCTGCTCTGGGCACCCTGTGCCAGCCCTGCCCACCTTCACAGGGAAAAATTTGTTCCTGATACCTTACCTGAGTTTCCTCTCTTTCTACTTGTACCCATTATTCCTTGTCCTGTCACTGCAGTTCCTAACAAGGAGTCCCTCTCCAACTTCCTTGTAGGCCCCTTCAGATACTGGAAGGCATTTCAAAATATACTGGAAAGTATTATTGATCATTTATTAACTGAAATTGTGGTTGTGCAACCACTTACTCCCTTGAAAATGTCCACAGCTAAAAGGGATTGCAGCACCAGGCCCTGTACAACAACCTATTCAGAATTTTAAAAATTTGCACAAAGCAACCTTTGTTAAGTGAAATCCTGAGATTATCCCTTGTTTATTTGAAGAGCCTGTTAAACAGCCAGACAATTCAAGGAGCAAACAGAGCAGAGTTATCTTAAAATGTTGGTTGGCACACAAATCTGAGAACTGAGGAGGTGAGGAGGACAGCCAAGCAGTAATTCACCCTTGGAATCTATTTCAAATTATCTGCACAGCTTCTCACCGTCCAGCCTGAGTTTAATCTCCCCATGAACAGCACTGTTAAATATGATCATTCCTGTTTCTGGCGACAAAGGCTGCTGGCACTGTTCTGTTGCCTGCATGCTTTGCTTTATCAAAGAAAGTGTAGCAGAGTATTGCTTTACTCACCCTAAACCAAACAAAAGTCTTAGTCAGGGACAGCGCCTCATTAAGTGAAGCAAAATGCAGAGCAAATCCTTTGCTGCCTTCCCTGAGGAAAATACAGAACCAGTCAAACCCACCAGAAATGTTTTCTGAGTTATATTATGTAGCTGACCACAAAGAGTAATTAAATACAAACTTCTGCTTCGAATGTGATTTTTGTTTGGGGTGGGTTTGGAAAGACATTTAAAGGCCCACAAGCATGTGGAACCTATTCAGTGGGATTGTCAGGGCAACCTAGGCAGCTAACATCCATTGTGAGAGTTCTTACCTACTGGCTTTTGAAATTCCAGCAGGCATTTCTGTGTCCTTGGGCAACTTGAGAAATTAAATAGTTTCCAAAATATAGTCAACTGTTTCACTGCCCATTCTGCTTTCATGTGGGTCAGAATGGAAAGAGATCTTCCAACACTGTCGCAACCAACTCATTAAGA